TTCACGTCTGACAATCTGTCTTTCCACGTTGGTACATTTAGGACCGTTTCATCTTTTTAACTGCTGTAGAGTATTCCACAGTTTATTTATTTATTTATTTTTCGTGAGGAGGATTGGCCCTGAGCTAACATCTGTTGCTCATCTTCCTGTTTTTTGCTTGAGGAAGATTGTCCTTGAGCTTACATCTGTGCCCATCTTCCTCTATATTGTATACGGGACACCACCACAGCATGGCTTGATGAGCAGTGTATAGGTCTGTGCCCGGGATCCAAATCCGCGAACCCCGGGCTGCCGAAGCGGGGTGCGCAAACTTAACCACTATGCCACCAGGCCAGCCCCTTCCACAGTTTAAACATAAAAACATCCTTGTGCCAAGGGATCTTTGGGTGGTTTTCAATTTTTTTGCTATTCCAAATAGCCACAGTGGACCTTTGCTCTCTCCTCCGTGAGCACATAAGAGTGTACTTGTAGGGTCAGGCCTGGAAAGGGAATTGCTGGGCCTGAAGGTAGGGAGAGATTTCTATGCCACCAGCCCCGTCCCTGGGAAGGGTGCTCCCTTCTTGGACCTTCTCAAGCCTTCGGGTTCAAAGCCCAGTGCCAGCCTTCTCTCCCACTCCATCTTGTGTGGGTATGCAGCTGCTCCCTGAGAGAATCCCATTTCCCAACTAGACTGCAAGTTCCCAACGGGCCTCACGGGGTGTGTCTCTAGGGACACCTCAGCATGTCACAGGAGAGTGAGCTTGGCAGATTTAGTGACTGCGAGCTGAGGCCCCCTGCACCACCTCACAGCTTGAAGCCCCTCCTCAGCTCTTCTGAGGAGTGGTGACAGGAAGTCACAGCTAGTTTTTCTGTGTGGGGGGCTGTGTGTGTACCACCCCCTCTCCCTACACATGAGAGGCCAGTGAGTGTCCAGTGGGTGAGGCTTGGGTGTCCTCTCTCCCCTGGTCACCCTGAGCCCCCACCTCAGCCTCCACCTCAGGCCCACCATGCTCTGCAGCACCCCGTGATGGCAAACTCTCCTCCTGAAACCACCCCCTTCTCACCAAGCTGCTGTTGGTGCTGCCCCAGGACTCTGCCCTCAGCAAGGGAACAGACATGGCCCCTTCATGTACGCTGGAGTCAGCAGTTAATAACCGCTTATCCATATCTGCCTTTCTAAAAGAGCCATAGTGAAACAACCCATCTCTCAGGTGGGCTGTCAGACGCAGCATCATCTGACTGGCTGAGAGATGGCTTGAGAAAGCCCGGGTTGGGGGTGTGCCCCAGGTGGCCTCTGTGTAAGGCTCGTCCCTCCTGGCAGAGGTACAGAGGCAGAGAAGGAGGGACCCTGCCTCTCTGACCCCCCCTTCACAAGAGTGAATGTGTGTTTATACCATGCCCTGCAATTAGAGGGCTCTGCAGAGGTTGTTAATGCTCATGGACTAGTAGGTGTCCCCACAAACCTCTGAGGGGAATTACTATCCCTGTTTATAGATGAAGAAACGAGTTCAGAGAGAGGAATCAGTAAGCGACCCCGGCTAGTAAGGGTCTCGCCTGAGCACAGCTTCTTGTCTGAAACTGGGCATCAACCTTTTCAGGGGATGCTGGACTCAGGGGAGAGAGCCAGGAGTGATGGTAACTGCGCTGTCAGGCTCTGGGAGAATGCGCTCCAGGAATCCTTGGGGACAAGAGCCCTCCCAGCCAGGACCACCTCTCAGTTCTCACGGGCAACCTCTGTACCCCCACCACTGTGGAAGTCCAGCATGCCTCAGTGTCCTCGGAGCCTCGATCAGCTCCCAGCAGCCTCTGAGTACCATTTCCATGTCCCCCCACCTACTGGCCCCCTCAACGTAGCCGAGGTGTTCAGGGTTCAATGCTCTCGATAAATCTGTGTTGAGCTCCTGCCCCTGATCCGGGCACTGAGAACCAAGCAGGACCAGGACAAAAGCAAGGTGCCAACCTCATCTGAGCATGGGGAGACTGCCAATCAAGGAACAAATACACAATATCAACATGTCAGGGGTGAGGGGTGCCAAAGAGAAGCGTGAATAGGACAAGGGGTCAGAGACTATGCATGTGTTGAGGGAGGGGTGATGTGTTAAATGTGGTGGCCAAGAGAAGCATCTCTGAGGAGGTCACTTTTGAGCAGAAACCTGAAGGGAGTGAAGGAGCAAGCCATGCAGATAGTGGCAGGTTGGGGGTCCTCCTGGGCACAGGAACAACCAGTGCAAAGGTCCTGAGGCAGAGTGTGACTGGTGGGGCTGAGAAGTAGGAAGGAGGTCAGGGGGTGAGCAAGGGGAAGGATGGAAGGAGGTGAGGTCAAGGGGTGGAGATGACAAGTGAAGTCACACAGGGTCTGGGGGTCCCTCAAAGATTCTGGTTCACAATGCAGCTGTGAGCTCTCATAAAAACCTGTGGCAGAAATTCCTGGAAGCTGGACAAAAGCAACAGATCCTTTTTTTTTCTTTCTGGAATTCTTTCCTTGTTATCCTGGACCATGGAAACAATGTGTTCATTTCCTCCCTGTCCTCCCTCTTCCTCCTCCTCCCTCTTCCTCCTCCTCCCTGCTCCCCCTCCTCCTCCTCCCCTTCATCCTTCTCCTCCTGCCTCCTTCTCCCTCTCCAAACCTGCCCCTGACCTTGTCCTGAGCTGGCTTGCCTGCATGCAGCTGAGACAGTGGCTGCCTCCTACTTGCAGGCAGGCACTGGCAGAGGACAAGGCCAGCGAGGGGACAGGAGGAGAGAGGCCCCGGAGAGGCAGACAGCAGCACGAGGGACGACGTCACAGGGGCCTCTCACTGCTATTCATTTCAGTCCCCCGGTGTCTCCATCAATAACCGGCTGCCATGACCAGGAGGGAGGAGTGAGGTGGGAAGGAGGAGGGGTGACCTGGGGTCTGGACAGCAAGGGATGAGATGGAGTGGGAGAGAGGCTCCTCGGCACTCACAGCTCCTCCCAGCCTGGGGCAGGACTGGAGGTAGGGAAGGCAGACAGACCACTGGGAGCTGAGGCTTCTCTCCCTGCTTCCTTCTTCCCATTTCTATATCCCCTTACCACACGCATTCCCTTTCCACTCCTCTCTGGAGCTGGGAGGGGAAAGGAGGCAGGACTCTGCACTGGAAGAGGAGGAAGGGGGTTTTCCTTGGGGGCTGGAGGAGTCAGGAACTGCAGAGGATACTGAGAGCACTCTGTGCCGGGAGAAACAAGAGGCCAGAGCAAGCCTGGGGACAAGGGATGGTGGAGGGACCAGACTGGCACCACCAGCCTGCAGCCCTCCTGAGAAGAGGGCGTGGGCCACTGAGCCTGGTGCAGAACATGGCACACAGTGGGCACTCAGAAAATAGTTGATAAGTGGCCATGAGAAGGACCAAATGGCCAGCTGTGGGTAGTCAAGAAGGGAGGTTGGCTTGGGATGGACTAGACCAGTCAAGGAGGGCTGCCTGGAGGAGATGGAACTTGATTAGATTCTTGAAAGATGGATGGGATTGGAAGAAGTGAAAATGGGGAGAGAAGGCATACCAGGTGAGGAAACTGTGAGAGCAAAGGAAACCGCGATGGTGGTGAATACAGGTGGTTGGGGAGGTCAATAAGATAACGGGAGAGAGAGGGAAAGAAGACAGTGAAACAAGGGAGGAGCCAGTCTGCAGGGTGCCTTCTCTGGGGCCATGGTGGCTTTGGAAAGTCTGAAGCCACTGTTCCCCAGGGGACTCAAGCCTGGTGGCCAAAGTTGGCTTTTTGACTTTCCCTACGGCCCGGGCCTTGCAGGCCTCCCAAGCCACACTCAGGCAGGTCCGCAGGCAGAGGGAGAGGCCCCTGACACTGGGCAGGTTGAGGGAACACCCAGAAAGGCTCTCCTGTCAGCGAACAGTCTCTTTGCCTTGTCACAGTGCCTGAAGGGCCAGCATTAAAAGCCACCCCTTGGGGGCCAGCCCTGTGGTGTAGTGGTTAAGTTCGTGCACTCCGCTTGGGCAGCCCAAGATCCACAAGTTCAGATCCCCGATGTGAACCTACGACGGCTCATCAAGCCGTGTTGTGGCAGCATCCCACATACAAAATAGAGGAGGAAGGGCACAGATCTTAGCTTAGGGCCAGTCTTCCTCACATACTCAAAAAAAGTCATCCCTTGAGTTGGGCACATTGCTCCATAAAGTCCAGATTCCCTGGTGAGGCACTGTCAGAATCACTCAGGGGGAAAACTAGGTTGGACCTTGGGGACCACTCGGTCAACTCTCAGTTCACACACCAGGAGACTGAGGCAGGACAGGAGACGCCATTTGCCAGGGTCACTCAGGAAATCAGAGGCAGAGCAAGAGTCAGCCTCAGGTCCAGCGTTGTGCATTGGTGGGCTAGATATGCCCAAGAAGAGCTCTTACAGGGAGGGGTGTGAACATATCACTGCAAATGTGACAACAGACATTGAGGCAGGGGACACATGGACTGCCCCATTCATTTTATTAGGGTAGCCTAGACTGGGGTCCTCCCGGCAGATGGAGCCTTTATGTGGAAGGCTGAGAGGGTCCCTCCGTCATCCCTGATGGAGCAGCCGGCAGCACTCCTATAAGTGGCCAGAACAAGAGTTCATGGTCAAGTGTGACCGGAGGTGCTGGGGGTGAAGGGTGGACGCTGCTTCTTCTGGGAGGCATTGGGGCTGGAGCTGAAACTGACAGAACAGCACCCGGAGGGAAGGTGGGAGGGAGGAAGGGAGGGAGAGGGCAGAGGCGCCTGAGGCACCAGGGCACAGGAAGAGACCCGCGGGGAGAGGGGGCGTGGTGGGGGGAAGATGCAGGGTGGCGAGACTTCGCTGAGGGAGCAAAAGAGAAAAACAACGCGAGGGACGAGAAGCAGACAGACAGGAAAACGGAGAGGCAGGAAAGCTCCAGTGGAGTGCACTGGAGAGAAAGAGAGGTGGTGAGAGGGACCAAAAGCAGGGGGCGGGCTGTGGACTGGAGGGTGGGCGGGAGGGCGCGTCGGCGGCCCGGGGGCGCCCCACTGACCCTTCTCGGCGCTTGCTTCCCTCCCCAGGCTGCGCTTTCCTCACCTACTGCGAGCGTGAGTCAGCGCTGAAGGCCCAGAGCGCACTGCACGAGCAGAAGACTCTGCCCGGGGTAAGTGGCGCCCGCCGAGGCGCGAGCGACCGACGCGCCGACAGGGGGCGACTTCGGGAGGCCGGGCAGCGCCGCGGGGGCGGGGGGATCGCGGGCCCGGGCGCGCGCCGCCTGCCCTCGCTCGGAAACTCGCGCGCCGCCCTTCGCGCCCCCGCGAGCCGAGAAGCGCCGGGTCCCGGCGAGGGCGCGTGGACGCCGAGCTCAGACCTAGCCCCGCGGCCTCCGCACTCCGCCGTCCAAGCCCGACGGAATCCGGGGCCGGGGGCGAACTTGGCCGTGACTGCGCGGCTCCTCCCTCGGTCCTCCACGGCACCGCCGATCGGGTCCCTCCTGCGCGCACTGCCCGCGCGTGCAGCCTGGGGCGGGGACGCGGGTGCCCTGGGCCCCGGGAGCTCGGAGCTGCCTCCGCCGGCCCCGCGGGACCCGGGCGGTAGGGCCGCCAGAGCCCGTCGGAGACGGACTACACCTGGGGTGGGGGCCGGGGCGGGAGCGGGCGCCTCCCGCCCGGGCTCGGCGCCGCAAGTGAGATCACCGCGGTTTATTTAAGGAGCCAGCCCTCGTCTTTGATAAACTATCGCGCCTCGGCCCTGGTTTATAGCTTCTGTGCGGGGGAGAAGAGAATTATTTATGGCCCCCCTAACTGGGTGTGATATCAGCCGTGGCTATTATCGAGGCTAGTTCATCACCATAAAATAAGAAGTGTTCCTCGGGTCAAGGGTCTGCACGGTCTTTCCTGTGGGTTCAGAGAGATGCGGGCGGGTTGGGGAGGGGAGATATACAGCTCACCGAGTATCTAAAGATAAATGGAAAGATGTGTGTTTGTGGGCATTATTTAAAGAATTTATGAATATACCGTGTTTACGCTTATACAGTGGACGCTGCAGGGAAGCACGTGTGTTCTATATGTATGCTCACCAGTGTTTACACATGCATGTTTACATTCTTACCAAGCAAACCGTACGTAAACACACGTTTCCATTTCTGTCCCACAGCAGGAAAGGTTAACCAGGTAGACAGAAAATGCAACCCGGGGCAGGGATAACCTTCCTTTGCATCAGAGATCCTGTTTTACGCATTTAGGGGTGGGGAGGGCCTTCCGTCTATTAAGACAGCCTTTGTATTGTATTGTGGCATTTGTGATTGCAAAGCACGGAGCTGAGTCATCTTAACAACAGACCCGCGGATGCAAATATATGGAAATTGTGCACCCCACAGGTTTTTGTGTGGAGCCCAGCTCTGGCAGGGTGGCTATTCCGCAGTTGGTTTTTTAGTGGCACAGCTACATGCACATATATTATAGTAATTACTTTCTGCTGCCCTCTGTAAGATGGCAGAAATATGCTCCACATCGCCCCATGTTATGTGTGAAGCATAAAGCCATATTGTAAGATAATCAAAGGCTTCTGAGAAAGGTTGGTGCTGATTAATAAAGTGTTTATGGTACTTTGTTTTGGGGGAGATTGTGATAGATATTTCAGAGCCACCCAAATGGAATAGAAAATACCACATTGTTATGGGAGGCCCTTCATCAGCTTGAGAGAGATTGCTGGGGAGTTTCGTGATGGCTAAAAGCCAGGAATTAGATGGGGAAACAGAAAGAGAAGGTGGGAGAGGGAAGCTTAGGGTTTTGAAGGGGGAGAGGCTGAGAACTGGGAGAATTTCAGTAGAAAGTGTGGAGTGTCCAGGATCTAACATTAACTTGTGGTTGTTTATTTTACATATAATAGAATAGCTAAATGATGGAGTGTATTAGTTCTTTAATAATTTATAGAAATACTTTGATGTTGTGGTAATTACATTAAAGGTCACATATCAAAGGTAATTTGGTTGAGCAGCTGTGATGGTTTCTCAGAAGCAATCAATACCACTGTCCGTGGTGCTGATTTCACCAAGGGGCCTGCCAGATTAAAGAAAGCTTATTACCAAGCAGAAAGGCCCAGGGGAAATCAGGAGCACATTGGAGCGACGTGCCAACCCCCCTTCCACCGATAATTAACACTGTTCCCCATAATCTGTGCTAATCCTTCATACTGGGAGATCCAATGGCATTTTTCTGAAATCACAAAGACAAGTTGTGCAAGTTTGGGAGAAAGGACAAAAAGAAACGTGAATGTATGTTGGGAGCCGGGAGGAGTGAGGAGAGAAGCCAACAGTGGAGCAAAAGCATAGCCTAGAGTCCCCTTGCCATGCCTAGAATGCCGTCCTTTTTTCAAAGGCCTCATGGGGAGACTTATGGTCTCAAAGACCTCATCACAATTCTTAGGGCAGGCACAGCCCACAGGGAGAGGGACAGGGAGAAAAGACAGGATTGCAGCTTGAACTTCCCAGGGCACATTGTCCCCGCACACACTCACATGGAAACGAATGAAAAACAAAATGACCAAATAAAATTATGTTTTAAAGTGGAGTCATTTGGATTCCAGAAAGCAGAACTGGTGTTATTATTGTGGGTTGGTTCTCTCCTTTGAGATCAGAAAAAGTGTGCCGCCAGCAAATGCAGAGACAGGACCAAAGAAAATGTTCTCACCCAACCAAATAATGGGTGTTCCCGCCAGCTGAGGCTGTGCTGGTGGCTTCCTGTTTCGTTAGGGGGCAGAGAGAGACCTGGGGTGACCACAATAGGTGCCCCAGTGAGTGTACTCTATGTCTGACTAAGGAGAAAGAAATTGAAAAAAGAACCTGGAAAACTGGTAACCTCAGCAGTTTAGGCACTTTTCCAGACTTCAAAATCCATTAAAATCAATCCATTAAAACCAGCCCTCCACTTTCCCACTGAGGAGAGAAAGAGGGAAGAAGACAGTGCAGGCAGCCCATGCTGCTTCTCAGGGAGTTACAGAGCGACATCCTGTTGGCAGGAGGAAAACAGTCCCACTGTTGTCATGCACACACACCCCACCACCAAAAACAACAGCAAAACAACAGAGACAGAACCAGAGACACCCCTCACATGTGTCCTCATTTGGGGATTGACATTCCTCTTGGGATAAGTGGCAGCTCAGAAACCAGACCACAGTTGCCAGTCTTATAAGTCAGAGGTCAGTATCCCTGGGAACCAGCCTAACCAAAGTCCCTCGGTGGCTGATTGAGTCATCCCCAGACCAGTGTCACAAATGGATTATTGTTTTTGAGTTTGGCATGACTTCAGGAGAATGAGATTACTAAACCACAAAGCCTCATCAGGGTCCTTTTGAGCAGTGTCCTCTGCCAGCATCTAAGCAGAATGATTCCTCTTTTCTAAACTCTCCATCTCTATCTCTCCCTCACACTCTCCGTCTTACTCTCTCTCCAGGCCCCCTGCCCCTCTCCAGCCCACCCTCTTCCATTCCCAATGTTCATTCCACTATTTATAGGGTACAGTCAAAGAGGGGCAGTTTCTCAATCCATCAACAAGTATTTCCTAAGTGTGTGCTGGGTACCATGCTAGGTGTCCTTGCAGACACGGAGATAAGAAAAACACACCCCCCGCCCCTCTTGGAGTTGTCCATCAAGTTGGAGACACACATGAAAAATGTCATCAATGATACAAGACAGCACATGTTGTTATAAAATGGGTAGTGTGGACAATTGCTCAATAATAACAGTTAATATTTATTAAGCACTTACTATCTGACAGGCATGATGTGAGCACATTACCTCCATTACCTCATTTTATCTTCACAGCCACCCTGTGAGGAAGATATCATGATTATCCCCCACACAGGAGGAGGCCCAGGTTTAGAGAGATTAAGCAATTTGCCTGCGGTCACACAGTTAATAAATGGCCAAGCCAGGACCAGCATGGGGTCTGCTACCAATGCCCAGGATACCCACCTCTCCTTTCTAGCACCACCAGTTGCTTTAGAGGGGACCCAGATGATTATGGGGTGCAGGAGTTGCTCAAAGATTTTGTTCAGGATGTGGGCAAGGTGGGAATAGAGAGTTGGGAGGAAGAGGGATATGTCAGATAAGAGCACTGGTCTGAGAACCAGCCTGGAGACAAGGCATGCACAACAGGTCAGGAGCCATGAGCGGGCAGCAGAGGTCCACTCTGAGAGCTCCCTGGAGCCTGAGTGTGCGCGGGAGGCCTCTTGGAAGAAATCTGTTCCTTAAAATAGCCCCTGCTGCTTAGTCCCAGCACCCCCTGCCTTTGGGACTTTACAGGGAATTGTCCTCCAGGAAGATCCCATCTGTTTCCAAAGTTAGGAAGTAAGGCCTCTGGAGAGAGACTCTGATTAGAGAAAACCAGGCGACGTGACCAGCAGTGGCCAGCATTTTGCTCCTCTGGCAGCAGAAAGGGCTCCTCACCAGCGCTGCGAAGTGGGAAGAGCTGGGTCCAGTTAACAGGAGGCCTGTAAGAGGTTGAGAAGAGAGGGCAGGCAGGGGAGAGGAGAGGAGAGGGAGCTGGGGTAGGGAGTGGAGAGAGTGGGAGCTGTATCTGCTTGGTAAACATTAAAGTTCCAATTCACTAGCTAAAGATTGGCTTTTGCGCCCTCGCTCCGGCAACTCAAGAATACAAAGCAAACCCACACACTCCTCTCTGGCTATCTCCCACCTGACCCCCTCGTTCAGCCAGGTAGACATGCAGCATCGCTACCACCACACCTGGGGCTCAGGTCTCCAAAACTCAGGACGGGTCATCTCCATAGAAATTCAATGTGACCTTCTTTGAGTTTACCAGGAAAGATGTTAAAATGGAAAATTAAAAAAAAAAAAAAAAGAAAGAAAACAATTCGATTTCTAGCAGCACTCTCTCAGGATGTCTCTTCTATCTTTCTCCCCCTTCCTCTCACTTCCGTTTTACTTAGTCCTCTTTTGTCTTCCTTTCTTTCTCTTCTTGTCTCTTTTCCTTTCATGCCTGTTTCCTCTTCTTTTCTTCCCTTCTGGTCATCTTCCTCTTCCTCTTTCCCCCCTCATTTCCAGCCTTTCTTCCTTTATCTTTCTCACTTGCCTCTCCTGCCTCTCTCCTCTCCTCCTCCTTCCCTCATGCCCTCCCTGCTCTCCTCCTGCCCACCCCATCTCTG